TCGCCAAAGATTGAGCAGCTATCACAGTTACAACGCCAAGATACGTGCGGACAGATAAAAATGCCGGCTTTTCTATGTATTGGTTGGCAATACAATGCAAGCAGAATGTAACTCATTCATTCATTCATTCAAACATGCAAGTCGCCCTAGAACTTAATAGTATCAGTCAGTCAGTCCTCAATAGCCTGAGTAAAGTACTAAACTTTTATACTCCCGCCATTGCTTAACTATGTTAATGTTCCTACCAAAAAAAAAAAGCAACAAAATACTTATATAGTATAGTTTTGAGTAAAACTAGAACTATAAACAAATATTATTTTTCTTCTCTTTTTTTTATAATTTTATATTTAAAAATTAAAAATGTGTCGGAAGAATTATGCCAATAACACAGCAATACAGCAACACGGCAACACTGCTGCTGAGCGCTCAGTTAAGCTCATATTAGCAAGCTAACTTCATGCAGTTAACTTATAGAAATTCTCCTGTAAGTAGGAAACTACGCTAGCGTAGCAACATGTCAGGCGCACAACAACAAGAACACAGCGTTAAGCTCACACTCAAACTACGTCCACTCACCAAGTTCGACTAATACATTTACACCAAAATCAAAAACAAAAAAAAAGACGGCAAAAAAGTTCACCACATTATTTTGCTCATTAATAATGCTCAGAAATGCACACAGCTAGCGCATTGGCATGTAAGGGGTAAAGCAAAACTTACAGCAGAAAAAAAAGTGCATTGTCTATGTGTTTATATGTTTAAGAGTTTTCATATGAAAATTAACTCAGCTTAAATTTTTTTTACACGCTGTTTTTCTCACTCACGTTTTTTACTTCAAAATAGAATATTACTCAGCATGGACTTCTGCTACTGCGTTTGCTGCTGCCGTTGCTGCTACTGCTGCTGCTATTGTTGCCGGTGCTGCACTTAAATTACGCTCCCACTGTTGCATTATATATTATTTACACTCAAAAATTGTAACGCGACGTATGTTTCATTCAATTTTTTCGCATTCGCTATTTTTTTACATAATTTTCTACTGGAAATCTTAAAATTTTGGCTCAACAGTTATTTATTCTATGTTTGTTTGTGTTGACAAACGTATCTCAGGCGATTGCTTTAATTTGTAACGGACGAGCTTTATTTCTTATAGACTAAATATTTAAGTTTTTCTTTTTCTTTTCTTGTTTTCTTTTGCTTCTATATTACGAGTATTTGTTATAAAGCTTGTAACATTGCGGCGGCAGAACGTAGCGCAAAACGTGCACAAATGCAACTGACTGACAAGCTGAGCGGTTGGCTCGTTGCACATGCACTTTTCGTAAAAAAAACTTTTTTTTGTAATATTATTTTTTTTTTTCTGTACGAATGATGAATTAAAAAATAATGCAAAAATTATACTAATAAAGTAGGAATTGCAAAAAAAAAAAAACGAAAACATTTAATATAATAAAAGAAAATGACAAAAATTGTGTAGAAATTGTAAACAAAAAGCAACGAAAATGAAAATTAAAAAAAAAAATAAAAAAACTGAAAAAATTCAGTTGTACTGCGTCATATTTACAACTTGAAAGTGGACGAGACTGAGTTGAAGATATTTTGACTCACTTAAATTCGCTAAAAGTGCGGGCGGGGGAAGCTGCTGGTAAGGGTTGCACTTTAGCAAGTTCAATGATTTTTAATTAAGACTTTCTTCCTTCAATTAAAATATTCCACTTATTATCTTTCTCTTTTCTTCTTTAATACTCACTTCTTTTATATCTTCAAAGTAGGGAACCGGCATTTTACTAAAAATATTGATAACGTTATGTTTTTACTATTAAATTGAAATTATTATTATAATTATTATATATTGATATTAACTTTTTTTTCCAAATTTAAATATTTTAAAATTTATAAACAATAATATAAAAGAAATAAAGAAAAAACTAAGGCTGTGTTTATAACGCGTAAGTGGAGACAGAATCCGTCGAGAGTGAGAGTGGATGATATGGTAATGAACTAGGATGATAGCGTTAAATATCTCGGGGTCATGTTGGTCAAACGATTCTCAAGGCTTAAGCATGTTCAACTGAAAATAATTAGCTGTGCCAAAATTCTTTATCACCTCCAACCGCTATTCAGAAATTAAAATTTCAATGCTAAGAACAGGAATCTGATATATAACCAAATAATTCGTCGTCTTCTGTATGGATGTGTAGCGTTTAGCAAAGCTTCAAACACTACTATTCGCCAGCTAGAAATTGCACAAAGCCAGGCTCTGATAAGACTTTTCAAAGTACCATGGTACATTAGGACGAATGAAATTCTCAGAGACCTCAAGATCCCATCAAAAAATATAGAAAGGATAGAGCCCTGAAATTATTTACGAAAACTGACAGACTTACCAACACCGCGTTATCAAATCTCAGAATGGTTACAGGCTCCTCGGGGAGGTATGCAGATCTGAGGTCAATTATTGTTTAGTCTGATGAAGTAATAAACAATAATCCAGTCAAGGCGTAAAAAGGGGTTTTGAAAATACCTCGAGTTAAGAAGGAGTAAAAGTGCTCAAGTGCACTGGCTCAAATAACTTCAACATAATAAAAAAATAAAAAAAATAAAGAAAAGTAAAAAATACTTATCTGAATATTACCTGTCTGTTATCTAATTGTTACTGTTAACTAACAGAACTGTTAAACAAGATTATGAGTCGATCATAATTTGGAGTATATTCGAAAGACAAATTCAGGCTTTCAAAAACTGTTTTATACAACAGGGAACTATATGGACTATAAAGAAAACACTAACTTAGCCGGCATTTAACCTAAACAATTTATAACGATATATTTTACTTTAAAAATGTTGATTATTATTATTTTTTAAAATTAACTTATTTTTAAATTCAATATTTTCATATTGCTAAACAATGATAAGTAAAAGAACAACGAAAATGACAAATAAAAAACTAAAAGAAAAACTCTGACCATTACCAGAAAGTTATATGAATGTTACTTGACAGCTTCTGTTAACTAACAGAACTGCTAAATACGATTATGAATAAGTCCATCATGATTTGGAATGTATTCGAAAGTTAGATTCAGTCTCCTGAAATCTGCTTTATAAAATAAAAAATTAACTTGAGTTTAAAAAAGAAAATTGATGCTTAATTATTAAATATAACCATGGATGAATCATGCCCCGAGCAATTATAGACTCCTAAAATCTGTATTTAAGAGAGCACAAATGGATTTCACTTTAAAAGGATGACCTTATCTTGAGTTTTATTCGTATATTTTAATGTTAATAAATCATGTTAAGATCTATGCGCTCATTCATGCTTCAGCTGATCATTAAAGACATTCAGACCGAATTCGGTTATAGAAGATTGGATCAATTCTAATTGTCACAGACAATTAAAATTATAATTAGTAGCACATTCAGTTTAATTTAACATTCAATATATTTTTGTAAATTTGTTGTAGGAAAAGAAATTATATAGATAAAAATATACAGAATATTAAGTCTATTTTTAAATCCTCTTTTATTTTATAAAAATTACTATTAAAACAAGATTAGTGAATTTGGATTTGTAATTGGTGTTTCTGTGAGAGCTACACATAATTTTACAGCGATGGATTAAATTTTAAATTGATTGATTGAAAGTTTACACAGATTACAGGAACGTTTAAATCTTTTAATATAGTGACAATATTTTAATATAGAGGCGTAACTCTTCAACACTTACGCCTATTTATTTCCATTCATAGTTCTATTAATATTATGTTTCATATTACTTTTAGATGATGGGTAATCTTCTGGTTACTTATAGAGAACACCTCTACTAATACCTAGAACACCCTTTGGAACATATACAACTGAACAATAATAGTTGACCATTCACAAGGCTGTTGAAGACATCTTAGTTGATCTCACGGAAATGGATCCAAACACTATTGGAAAACAAAATGATTGATAAATAAATGAGGTAACACAATTTATATTTTTGATAAGTTATGAGATGTTTTTCGAAGACATCTACATGAACATCATTGAAATGGAACTGAACATAATTGGTTCAGTGGTTATCTAAAATGATGGGCAAATACATTGGGGAGTATATTTAATAATGCGTTATAAAAAATAACAAATGAATAGTGGCGTATCTTCAGGTAGATTCCTACCTTGACGATATGATCAACGCATAATGTACTGCAAAAATGCTATCAAAATAAATACTTTCTAATATATCTACCCTCTCTCCCCACTTGCTAAAATTCTGGCTACAAAAGTGTTTTTAAGTTAATGTAAGGAACACCAGATGTTGTTCTTCGTGATGGGCACGTTTACTATATCCCACATTGTTAAAGATATCTACCATCGGTACCATTGTAGCATCTACCTCAGGACGTCTTCGATAGTCGTAACGCAACTAACGTGGGCATACAGAAATTTATATAAAAACTAATGTATAAGTTTGTAATCAAACTGTCATTTAATAAGCTATAGAAGCTTATTAAATTTCTTTCAGGAAAATATTTAAGGACAAACAGTCCATTGACTCATTTGATAAGCTGTATAAGTTATTGAATAAAAGATATACGTGCGTACAATTGGATGGTTAAACTAGTAGCAAAATTTCAATTAAAAATATATGTTTTTTATAATTTGGATATTCCAATTTGTGTTACATTAAAACGAAGGATAGATACTATAGCTTTACCAAAACCGCAAGGTATCCTATATTAAATGTTTCAACCAAAAACGCACTAAAACAGTCTTATCCAACACTGTTATCCCAATCACATCTGTAAGTAGTAATACTATTTCTACTACTATTATTACAACTATTATTACTACTATTACTGCTACGATTACTATAGTTCAGGCACTACAAGTTGCCAATTACTTCACGATAATATTTTCGATAAATAATTTTAACAAAGCAATCGATTTTTTTTATTATAACATTTTTCATGACATACGTCAAAAATCATATTCTAATATTTAAAAAACCATTTAGTTATCTTAGTTCTTTGAACTAATAATTGATAACTTCTATCTTTTTTTTTTGAAGCAGATAATTTTTTAGAAACTCCTTTCTAAAAAATGGGAAAAAGTATACATTCTAGTAAGTAAAATAGAAAAGAATAAAATTAGGTTTTTTTGAGGAATTTTAAATCAAAAAATTTTTTATTTATATAGTGACCACAAGACAAAAAATAAGACAGGAAAGTGGTCCACCTATTTTAGAAGCTGTAATCAATAATGATGAAGTGAAAAATGGGACTGCACGTAAACGTAAAGGGCAAAAAAAACAAAAACCTCAGAGGAAGACAGACAGTAAAGCTGCTGAAGAGATAGTTTACCCAAACATAAACAAAACCATCTTAAATAATATCAAAGCTTTAAATCTAGAAACAAAAAGAAGAGCGGAAGAGCAGGTCGCAACAGAGAATCAAGAGAAACATTTTGGATATAATTTTAATTTACGTAAGAAACAGTTATTATATTTCTGTAATACTTAGTTACTATTATTATTTTTCTCTTCTATAGATGAGCCACTCAGTAGTAATGTTAGTAAGTATTTAGAGCAAATTTATTTAAATCAATCCGACATTAAGACATCATTTAATTGCAACAAAATAGTAAAAGAATTTAATACAAAATTAGTTTAAATAGACTATATAACTATAAATTTAGGAAATAGTTCAGGACTTAAGTAGAATTATATTAGAATTTGTCTCTTTCAAGCAAACTTAGATAGGACATTTTATTACAGGATATAAAAAGTACTGAAATTTGCTTAGGTCTAGTGCCCATTACGATATCAGTGGCTAATTTATTTTAACTCATCAACTTCCTCTTACAAATCATCTGGTTTTTATGACAAACTTTACTAGGTTCATTAATTTAATTGTACCCAATTCTGCTCATTTTGCAAAATCAAATATTTAAGAAGATTTGAAAAAAATAAGCAATCTTACATTGTTTAATAGATCTT